AATATGATAAATGGTTTTATTAATCAGAAGAAAAATAGTACTAGTACTGAGAATAATGAAAACTACAAAAATTTGCATATATTGGATCTTTTTGTTCAAAAGCGACGTGGATGTCTGCTGACTAAACATATCAAATCATCAACAGAAAATAAATCACAACATATTAGCACTAGAAATAGTACAATCAATTCAACTGATCCAAATTTATATAAACGTCAAAAAACTCTATTAAATATCCTTAACAACAATGCTAATATAATTGATAACATTTTTATCAAAGCAACTCATGATATGAAAGAACATGTTACTAAATAGAAGTATATATATAACACGTATAGAAAACCTGGCCATAATGCACGAAAATACAACAAATAAATTCACAAATAAGACTGTAATATGAATATATAGTGATATATCAAAATAAAGTTTTTAGCTAAGTGTTACATTCAGGGCATTTCAACTGTGATTATGTATTGTAATATTGGTCATACAAAGCTTAAGCTATTTCTAATAAAGTAGTTTGGGAAACATTTGTGCTTTATTAAATACCTGTATATCTTCCACAAACTAACCCTAAAATCACAAGGGTGATTTTTATATAGGTAAATATTAATGAACTTTATGTTGAATATATGCAGCCAATTCACTATGTTGTGCTTAGAATCCTTTGTTATATTACTTGCTATTGCTATTCATATATGTATGTACAGTCACCTCAGAAAGTTTGACATGGTTATACAACAATAATATATATACAAATCAACAATAAAATATTAATGAATACAGCTGACTCTTGATATAAAAAGTCACTGCATCTAGCAAAATCTTTCTTATACCAAGACTTTCTTATATCGAAGACTTTTTTTATAAAAGTTTTCAATTGGGACTTGTAAAATTTTTCTTATATAAACATCAAAGGTTTCCTATATCATAAGTATAATTAGCATAGATTTTGTTATGTTTTCATATAACCATGTTAAACTTTCGGAAGTGACTATACATGTTATATCAATATTGTGATAGTTACGAAATAGTCATATGGATAGATACCGTATATGTCCGAAAATAAGCTACCATTTTTGGGGGACGTCTAAAGCGGAGGCAAATCATGTGATCAACCGCCAATCAAATTATAGAATTTTGATGATCGTCGGC